CTGGTTAAAAACATGACTTAGAGTTGAGATGAGATGAGCAGACCAAGTGTAATCAGAAAGCTAAAATGTGTATCAAATCAAAGGATAAGGAAAGAATGTGCTTGTCAGCAGGAGACAACTTCAGGAAGCCTGTAATGCAAAAGATAGTTCTGGATCAGAAACAAGGGTTCAGGTGGCAGGAACCAGGAATTTGAGCTATGTAATGAGCAAGTAAGCAGGGAACAGGAACAAGATAATGGTGTGCATTTGCAGCCAAAACACAAGCTGCATTGGCAAAAACAACTGATTGAGCTTACGAGTTCCTTCATCACAGAAAGTCAGGTTTACAAGTAGTAGCTGGCTGAAGAACTCAAATTACTGGAATTTTTAAATTTTTTTATTATAACAGTTAAATAATTTATATAGCCATTTAATCTGGGGTGATTTTTCAGGAAAACAGATGTGACTCTATTTAGGTAAAGTCCAAAATGAGGATTATGTATATTTGATTATATTGTATTTGCAAGGACAGTACTAGTTTTCATTCGTGTTTGTTAAATACTTGAAGGATTTAAATATATATATAAACAATTCAACAAAAAAGGAAAAAGCCCTCATGATGGATTCTCCAACTCGCTATGTAATACAGCAAAGTTCTGTTTTACTTGCCCAGTTCCTGGCACCATACTTCTGTTCCATGGTGCACAATGACTGTGCTTCAAACAGAAGTGTGCTTTATAGCTTTATAGTTCTGTTTTGATTTTAGGAGGCAGGAAATGTAAATTTAATCATCTTCAGCATAAAAAGAAACCTTCACATAGCCTTTCTTTATTAATCAACTGTCTTAGACTTTCAAGCTATTAGTATTCAAGGACAATCTATTTTTAGAAAATGGTCAGTGTTTCCTTGTTCCTGAACCACTATTCATTTGATAATCCATCTTCAGTAGAGAAATACTGGGGGATTGGGCACGGACAGTAGTGGGTTTTCAGGGCTTGGGGGTTTTTATATGGATTTGGGGGGTTTTTAGCCAATCTGGAAACTGTGTAGAAAGTGTCTGGCACTTCAAACTCTTCAGAAGTCCATTTCACTTAGTATCTAAGTCTTACTAGGTTCCTCTGTGAGTAACTCTGAATTCTCTGTTAGTATCCAGGTATCTGCATTTTAGCCACTACAATGCATAATACTGTTAATGTGAATTACACTTCAAAATCTGACCTGGCACAATACATAAGTTTACCTGAAAAATCATGAGTAACCTACAGTGATTTTACTTTGTATTAGTTTATTTACTTTAAAAGCATGTCCTTGCCACATAAGTAGGTTGATTGCATAGTCAGTGAAGAATTTTTATCTGGCAACATACAGAGAGGTTTTCTTTAGGAGTCTTTATTGTCTTTAGGAGCAGCTACTCCAGAAAATGTAATTTTAAAATTCTATTTGAAGTTATTTCTAATCATGATGATACAACAAAGTTTAAAAGGGAATATATGTGTTTGAGAAGAAAGAAACACACCAGCTGGTGTAAAGTTTAGTATTGTAATTGGAATGTCTAGGAATTTGAATAAAATCTGACCACAATTTGCAGGAACTACTTTTAATTAAATCTTCTACATCTGCACGTTCAACCAAATGAAATAATGAATAATAAATTAAATAATTCGGTAGAACTTATGCTTTTTTCTTTAACACATTTCAGTTCATTATCTTTCCAACTAAACATCTGTTCTAGTATCAGATAGGATGCCACAATAAGCTAGTATTTCTTCATTCATCAAATATGACATGTTTGTTTGAACTGCTGGGACTAAAGGTTCTCAAATTACTGGAAAAAAAATCACTGTGGGATCCAAGTTACAAAGATAATAATAAAGAACTTACATCTTTCCTGCATTGATCATAGATAATTGCTCTATATATAGGATTGCTTTAAAGGTGTCTGGTACTTAAGGTTCAGTCTGTTTTCGACATCGTTGCATAGACAACATGTAATATTCTGGAAAGCTGTGCATTTTTTCCTACATATTTCGATAGGAACAACAAATTAGAAAAAAATATGTTGAGAAAATAGCTTTACATAGAAAAGCTTTTAGGAGGATAAATTACTACCTTTATTTCACCAAGTAAGAGATAGTTCATATATTCACTTAATGCTTTTTAGATCACAGTGACCTTGATATTTTTTCCGCACAAACGTGTTAGCCTGTATTAAAATAATGAATAACCTGGTGAAAACGTAAGTTTAATGGGCTTTGCTTAAAAAGGCAAATAGAGAGCTGAAGAATCTTGTTAAATTTTGTAAATACATATAAAGAATTTAATTTAGAATTGAGCAGGCCTGTTCTTTGGTCGCTTCCCTTAGCAGGTTTTATTTCTTGTACACTAAGCTATTACTTCTCTTCTTTCTCTTTAATAGGCAGAAATTCAGCTAAACCTGTGAATATTTATTTGTCCAGTATGTGGTATTATTATAGGCAACAAACAGTACAACATGAAGGATTAAAAAGAAGCTCAGAGATCAGTAACTATAACTAATTTCAGTATAAAAATCTATTTTTTTTCTGCTTCAGAGAACTGAAACTAGCTTCCACATTTAGCTGAAGATCTGTCGTTGCGTTTCGGTTCACAGCAGTGGGAAGATTTTCACAATCATTGGAGGCTTGAGGGTAAAAGGGACTTCTGGAGGCCATCTGGTCCAATCCCCTCCTGCTCAAGCAGGGCCACCTAGAGCTGGTTGCCCAGGACAGTATTCAAAATGGTGTTTGAGTATCTCCAAGGATGGAGATTCAGCAGACATCCTGGGCACATCGTCCCATCAAGTAGTCGTGCACATTGCTGAGTTTCCTCCTAGCCCTCCTCTTTAGGTTAAACAGTGCCAGCTCTCTCAGGCTTTCTTCATAGGCAAGGTGCTCCAGTCTCTATCTAAGTGGCCTCTTAATGAACTGTCTCCAGGATGTCCTGGTCTCTCTCATACTGGAGACCCTAGAAACGGATTCAACACTCGTGGTGTAGCCTTGCAAGTGCTGAGCAGACAGGAAGGATGAAAATCCCTCGACCTGATGGCAAGGCTCTGCCTAATGCAGCCCAGGAGGCTGTTGGTCTTCTTCGCCATGAGGATGCTTGCTGTCCCATGGTCAACTTGCTGTCCTCCAGGACCCCCAAGCCCTTGTCTGCCAAGCTGCTTTCCTGCTGGGCAGCCTTCTCCAGCGTACGGGTGCCAGCTAGTGTTCCTCCCCAGAGGGAGGACTTAACACCTTGTTAAACTTTGTGAGGTTTATGCTCATCCCATTTCTTCAGCCTGTTGAGGTCCCTCTGGGTGGCAGCACAACCGTCTGTCATGTCAGCCACCCCTCCTAGTTTTCTGTCAGCAGCAAACTCGCTGAGGATGCATAATGCTCCACTGTCCAGACCATTAATGAAGAATGTTGAACAGGGTCAGAGCAGTATTGGCTCCAGTGGTACAGTGATAGTGGCCTCCCACTAGACTTCAGACCACGTACTGTCTTCTGGGCCCAGCCATTCAACCAGTTTTCAGCCTACCTCATATACATTGCGCGTATAGTTTAAAAGCTACACAGTTCTTCAGTTCTGCAGAGACGACTTGGAGGTGCAAACTTCCCTGGAAACATCACAAAATCAATCAGATCTAGGCAAGTGGTGTATTAAAACAGTGATTTTTTGTACATAGATTCCTAGTAAATGTGAAAATCCAAATTAAAAGTACAAAGGTTACATACTCAGCTACCAGAAATAAAGCATCTCTGTTGACAGTTGAATTGTGCTTCTGCACCAGCCTTATTGCATCAGGTTTAGATATTTATGAAGCATTTCCTTTACATTGTATATGACAGCACAAAACAGGTTGGTATTTTGGGGACAGAAGCAGATTCAGCAGAAAAGTGAGGAGTATTGTTTCAATTCATAGGACATTTTGCCTACTAGTGGATGCAATTAATTCATCTCTGTCTTCTCATTTGAACTTACTTCTGTGCCATGCACATGTGCTTTATCAGGAACTGTATCCAGAATGAATATGCACTTAAGCAAAACTGAGTGAAGACAAATTGTAGTACAAGCTAAAGACTACTTTTCCGTTTGCTGTTTACAGTGCCTAATGCAACAGGACTTCAGTTCTTAATGAAGCTAGTGTGGGCCACTGTTTTTTTGAATATTTAACTGTGTGCATTCATGCAGCCCTTTGAGAATGATGCATACAATCCATATTGTTTCTGCTCCATACAGAGTAAATATAAATGCAGAAATAGAGAATTTTAATTAGGAGATATCGTTATCCTTCACTTGCCTATTTAAGATGACTGAAAAATACTATATTGCATTTGAGAAAAATAATCTGATATTAAAGGTTGCCATGCTGAAAAACGCTGGGGAGTATTATTCTCGCAGCATTTGAAATAAAAGTACCTGAAAAGGGGAATGCAAATGAAATTAACCACTTTTTCTATCTTCTGAATTTAATAAAATTTGCAGTCTTCGGAATCAAGCTATTAGTTTCAGTTTGCCTGATAGCTCGTGCATAGAAAGGAAGTTTTTTGGACAGTTAAACAATCTTGTCAGTTAGATGTTTCATGAATTAAGATGAACTGAGAGACCTTCTTAGCTGGCATCTGTTGGTAAAGAAGTAGCCACATTTGTTGAAGTTGCAAGGATCACTGATGAGTACTTTGTAAGAACTAGTTGAATTTGTTTCTTTAAGGCCAAATAGTGACTTGTGGCCCTGATGTTTTCTAGGCATTACTGTGAAAATCCCTGAGCAAAACTTTAAATGCTGTTGCATGATAGGACATAGTAAAAGTTTAGCAGGCATATGAAACTATCTGCATTTATGAGATTGCTGTTTTTCCCTAAAGAACGCCCTGTCTAATCACATGGTTTACAGAGCAAGTTTGTTTCTAATGTCAGTTGCATAACTACATTGTAGTTTAGTGCTTTAAAAACATGTGATTATTGCTTTTACAATTTCTCTTTGCTAATTCTGGCAGTATCTTGTGTGGTTTTTGCAGACATAAATGAATGTGAGGCCAAACCTTGCAAGAATGGTGGAATTTGTACAGATCTCGTTGCCAACTATTCCTGTGAATGTCCAGGTGAATTTATGGGAAGAAACTGCCAACAGAGTAAGTACTGCATGTTTTTATATATTTCTTTTTTTTAAATAAAATAAATACTTTTTTTCCAGAAACAACTATAGTATACTATGGAGATACTTGTCTAGTCTACAAATATGTAATGCTCAAAATAGCCATTTTATTCTTTTCAAGGTGGAGGAAATTTATAAGACCAAATCTGTCATGCAAAACATCTGATATGATGAAAAAATTTGCAAAATGCAAAATTATTATCTAAGAGTCAAACAAGAAAGAGTAAATAGTGTAAAGTAGAAAAATACAATAAACAATTTGAGGTAGGGGTTCATCTGCCTAAGCATCCCTCCTTAAAGTGTAATTATTCACAGATATCAACAAGTGGAAGAGCAGGGCAAAAATAGATGTTACTTTCTCAATCAACTTTCAGGGGCTATACTTCTAGCCTCTGAAAGCAGGACCACTGGTTTGGAGAATTTGTTAGTGGAGTTCATCCAGGGTCTGCCCTGGGAACAGTCTCCCATGATTTTACCAAATGCATTATAAAGATCTAATTTCTAAAGTTGTTGCTAATAAAGGAGTTCTTCATTTATGAAAGACTAGGAAATCTTGAAGACCAAAATAGCAAAAGTAGAATAAACTGCTATGGTATGAAATGCAGTGTGAGTTAACAGTTAATAACAGATGCTGGAGGCTGATATATTTGCAGTGCTGCAGAGAAGAAAGCCTGTGTGTTTTAGCCAAAGGATGCTGAAGAATAATGGTCTTGTGGGAAAAGCTAAAATAAAAATATAAAAATAAAATAATATACAATATCTATAAATTATGTAATATAATTATATATTTATGTAATATAAAGTGAATGTCTATTTAATATAATAAAATACTAAAATATAATACTAAAATATAGTAAGAAAAATTATAAAAAACTAATGAAAGTCCTAAGCTATCTTACAGTATATGATATGGTGCCTTAAGGAGAAAAAAGAAAGTATTTGTGTATTATCATTTGCACCATTAGATACTGCATTCACAGTAGTGTGCAATAGTACCTGAAATACTGGAGTCACCCACATTCAAGAATGGGAATTACTGGTTCTAAGAAGATCTGCTATGTGTAGGAGAAAAAAAATGTAAAGAATGTTGCAAGTTGAATACTAAATAAATGAAACCATGGCAAAGCTGAAGAGTATGATTCTTTTTTTTGTGTTCACATTGTGAGTGCATGGGGCAGAATGCAGAAGAAAACAATATGGACCAATGACTACAAATGACAGAATGGGATTTTTTTGAAGTAGCCTCAGTAAATTACTAGATTTGTATATGCAACAAGCAAAAGATTTGAGCATCCAACATAATGTGTATATAATTATAGAGAGAAGTAAAAGTTTAATATTTGCTTTGAGAAATTTTACAGACTATATGGCAGCCTGAAATAAGTTGTAAAATAGGAACATCTATTATTCTGTAAAAGTTGCTGGTGAATTACTTGGTGTATTTCCTTATAATGTGCAATTGGACTGCCATTCGAAATTCTACCAGGAATCTCATCCATTTCCTCAGAGTTCATCCCTTCTGTTTTTTTGGCTACATCATGAACATTGCTCATATTATAGATCACATAAAACCAATTTCCTCTTTAGCTAGAAATGGGATAGTCAAAGCTATTACTTGAACTAATCATTGCATATTCTGGTTCAGAAATGGAATATTACGTCATATTTCTTTCTATTTTATAGACATATATATATAATTATGTATAAAAATAATCTTTGTGTGTGAAGTTGCATATATTATGTATTATATTGGATTTTATGTGTATATATTTTTTATATATATAAAAATTTATGCATATATAAATAAATATATATGTGTACATATATTTTTCATACCTATATATGTAAAAGATAAAATAGATATTTCCAGTATATTGAAATAGTGAAAGAACTCTACTTGTGTCAGTAAAGCATTACTGAATTGCAAACTATGATATCTACAGTCTGTGTTTCTGGGTCAGACTTTAGACATTTACACTGGTAAGCCAATCATGTAGACACATGATCTTTCTGGAGGCGCTTCTGTAGATTAATACTGACAGCTGTGACCCAGGGCTCCATCAACTAGAGAAGAACAGTAAGTTATTTGAAAGGATAATTCTGTTGAGTGTTAAAGAATTTTTATAAATATGATCAGGCTCTGTAACGCAATCAAATTGTTTTGGTGTAGAGATCAAGGACAGTGAGTTTAAAACTAAAAAATGAGTTAGCTTTGCAGTGACTATTCATTAGCTGCAAAGTGTGTACAGTCTGAGAGCGCTGGGCTTGTTCAGCCTGGAGAAGGGAAGGGAAGGCTCGAGGGAGACCTTAGAGCAGCTACCCCTTAGAGAAGGGCCTGTAGGGACAGAACAAGGGGGAATGGCTTTAACCTGACAGAGGGGAGACTGAGATGAGCTCTTAGGCAGAAGTTCTTCCCTGTGAGGGTGGTGAGGCCCTGGCAGAGGTTGCCCAGAGAAGCTGTGGCTGCCCCATCCCTGGCAGTGCTCAAGGCCAGGTTGGACGGGGCTTGGAGCAACCTGGTCTAGTGGAAGGTGTCCTTGCATGTGGCAGGGATTGGAACCAGATGAGCTTTACAGTCCCTCCCAACCCAAACCAGTCTGTGATTCTGTAGTGTGGTAAATGAGGGAGACATGGCAATATGGCACTGGAGTGCAGTGGTAAAAAGCTTCTATTCTGTACTTCCTCTGGATAGCAATGTGAATATAGACACCTATGGTTTGAAGACTTAGGAGAAAAGTAATATATTACTTACATCAATAATTACAGAATGCTGCACGAGGTGGATATTTGAATACTTTTTTTCTACTGCTTTTTATACTCGTGTTATTCAGGCATATGAATTCAAGCATATGAAGATTTATTGTTAAATAATAAATAATTAAGGGTGGCAATAATGTGTGTCTGATTACTGCCTGCAAGCATTGAACTACCCCTGTTAAGGAAAGTCAATAAATTCTTCTAGTACTATGGCACAGTTCACAAACTTTTAGCATTCGTTTACTTTTGAGCTAACTTTAACATAGTGAGCATTAAAATAATAAATTTTCTTTTTATACACCACGGTAATTCTGCACTATACCAGTTTCTATAGCTGGGCTCGTAAGTATCTTCTTTTTTTCGTGAGAGTTTTAGTTATTTCATCATACCTAATTATGTAATTACAAGTAGTAATTACATATTCTAATTACACTATTAGTTTTACATATATTTACAGTAATCATATAATTACTGTTATGCTAATTATGTAAATTAGTGATTGCTATCTCAGAATTACCTCACAAAACTCAAAGATTGCTAATCCACATCACAGAATATATGAAATAGTCTAGATCAAGAATAAAAAAAAAGGCAAAAATACACCATACAGTCTGTTCTTCTGCCAATTAAGCTTTTCCAGGATGTATTTTCTAACATTATATCTAGTTTGGTATATCCCAAATACCTGTACTTTGTAATAATGACTTTTTGTGTTACTTACCAGATTGAAGTAGTTTGCTTCAGCCTTTTTTTTCCTAATGCACCATCTAAGTTTTTTCTCTCTTTTTAATTCCACCGTAGTTAATCTCCTAAGTAATTCCCTTAAATTTTATCTCATGTGTAGTACTTTCTGGGTGTGATTTGTATTACACCCAGGTCCTGCAAGACTTGTGGGACACCCACCCAAAATTCTCCTGACTAGTCCCAAGACCCTCTGCTAATAACTAGTGCAGCTGAAGTGAGGGGGAAAGGCTCGTCTAGAACCGAGTACTAAAATAGCACTAAAATGCTTAATGGGCTTGGAACTGTATTTGTACCACCTTGACAATCTTCTGAATCTCCTTCTGTCATGGATGAGGTATGGAAATGCTTTTAAGGTCTCAGCCATGAGAAAATTATCAGAAGACACTGAGATGATTTCCTTAGCCAGCCAATGTGCTTCGCATCCTAATAATGCTTCTGCTTCTTTGGGCTTTCCTTGTGTTTTGTTTATATCCCTTCTCATTTTGAAGCATTGGCCTGACCTCTTAGTTTTCTTCTGGAAATGCTTTAATTAAACCTTCTTTTTTTCGTATTACCTACTGCTATTTCTAGCTGTTCAGGCATAAATGATATGTAAACCAGCTGCTTCTCACTGCTGGAAAGCACAGGTTGAGCAAAGTCAGAGTGATGTGGAGCCCAAGCGCTCAGTTGTTACAGAATAAGCTCATGAATCTGTTAAGAGATACTTCACTGAGCATCTGGTATTTACAAAGTTTGTCTGCAGATGTTTAGTAAACACATAATGGAAAGAGAGCACCTTTCCCCATCCTCTGAAAGCAAAACCTAAGTTGTATTATTTCCATATTACTTTCCAGTTTTCTTAAGGCCCCAGCATTTCCTTGATGCAGCTGCAGCACCTTCTGTTCTTGCACTCTCTTAGCCCATTTCTTGTTTCTGTGCTGAATTCAAGCTATCAGTTATGATTACCTCCATTACAGCTTTCCTTAGTGTCGGAGCCTCTATAAATAAGTATTGCTTCCCACACAGATTCTCCTGGGGTTGAAGGTTTTACTTTCTGGATCACAAAATTCTCTTCCAGGCACCAGGGAGCCACTTACATAGTGTCAGACTGTTTGCATTATTCAGTACAAATCTGTATTGTTAAAATCTCCCATGAGCAACTTGGATTGTGAATTGCAGTAATTTCTGAATAGTTCCACAGGTAATTTTTGATTGCTATTTGTTTGGTTTTATCTTTATCTAGAAGATGGTGCTATGCAGTGGACATGTTATAATTTCACCAGTGTGCATTTCCGAGCTGTATTTTGCTGATTGCCAAGAGTTGCTGCCATTAAAGCATATGGCAGATTTTCTTATGCTCTTTCTTTAAAGCTACAGATCAGATTAATCACTGTAAATATTTTTACATAGGCTATGGTCCCTTCGCCTCCTTTTCTGCATATTCAGCAAGCCCATATGTAGGAGGACTGATTTCAGAGCAAATGCACCAATTTAATT